AAAAAAAAAAAAAAAAAAAAAAAGGAAGCACAAGGTTTACCCTCCCAAAAAAAAAAAAAAAAAGAGGAAGCACAAGGTTTACCTTAACCGGAAAATAGGCAGATCTATAGGCCATGTGATCTCTTCCACACAAAGGCGGGTGTTCCTGCCTCAGGTGCATCTCCAAATGAGAGAAAAAGTCAACATCATCCCGAGATGTGAATGCAAGCAACGCCCCCAAGCTACCCATCACAGTCCCATAAATAAGGCACTCTCCCCCTACAGGAATTAGAGATGCCTTCTGCAAGCAAGTGACCACATCACCAACATGAAACTGCACTATTTCCTCTACCTTGTTGGGGGCTCCATTCAGCTTCCCCTGCTCCCACTTTATCTTTCCACCAGTTGGATCTTCTTCTATCTCATCTGACACATCCTGTGGTAACCTCACGAAATAGATGTTCCCAAACTTGTCTGCACCTGCCATGGTGTCAAAATCTACGTGGAATGATGCAGTCAGCCATCTGGGAACAGTGTCATCAGCAAATATGTACAACTGATTTTCGTCGCGTCTATACTTGCAGTAATGGAATGACTGTAAAGAGAAAAACCACAAGAGCATATTCAGTACAGAGACAATAAACACGCATACATACATCTGCACATATCACTGTCTGTAAAAACTGTAACTTATGATTTGCAACTTGGTATCTAAATGTACTTGTTGGAATACAAGAAAACTTGTGAACTTATTCAAAACCACAAAAGTTGAATACACGAGGTGCTGAATTCAAATTGATAAAAATAAAGCACGAGAATTTAGCCAAATCATACAAAGGGCATTATGTTCAACTTATTAAAGCAAAATAACAGGAAATTTTGCCAACATTATACTTGTAATCCAAAGCCTTTGAGATTCAAAAGGAAAAATCCTTCCCAGCTCCTCGTCCTCTTGATTTTTTAAGCACAATTCAACCAACATGCCACTCATCCGCATGCTTAATTCAATACAAACACAAGAAGAAAGTTCAGTTCAACTAATATGCTCCTGTGGTGCAAAATAAAAGGGTGAAGGGAAAAAAACATAAAATTGACAAAGTGCAAGAAGTTGGGAGGTCATTGGAAGATATGACTGTGGAGATTAGAAAGCATAAAACAAGAGATACAGTCATACATATGCTTTAAAACAATTAAACAACTGGGTTAGCGGCTGCGCATGGAAATACAATGCCACCAATAGTGAGACACAGTGAGGGATGCAGCATGGGGACAGGGGGTATCATTGTATTTATATAGGTTTGGCTCCCCCAACAGTTTTACTATTGTCACAACTATGCTCCCATGAATTGATGTATATGACATGAACCTTTCAGCACCCGTGATCTTTGGGCCTAAAGAAACGTACATGGGACAATTAAGGTGCTTCAAGGATACAAAAAACATCAAGAAAGTTGTCGTCTGATGCACTTCAAAACTAACTGGCCAATGATCTGACATATTTTCAATACACTCTACACAGAATCAACTAGCAGATTAACAGAAGAACTGATTAAACTCTAAACACAAATCAAATTATTTATAAAAAAGCCCCAAGGATAAAATCATCTAAAACCACAAAAAAAAAAAAAGAAGAAGTAAGAGCTAGATGAATTAAAGATCTTCCCCAACCAATAAAAAAATGTCATAAACCACTGTGATAATATTGTAAGAACTAGACATTGCATAGAGAACAAACCTCCTGAATGTCTCCCACATAAATTCGATCACGATAGGTATGGATAGAGTTGATCGTGTTGGGAAACAGCTTATTCTCACATTTTCTAAGCAACCTCCTCTTCCCCAAATCATACAATCTAAGCACAGATCCTATTCCAGTAAGTAACCTTCCTTGGAACTGGCACATTGCAAGAGGTACACCATCCACCTGTGTCTTGTGCAAAAGTTCAAGGGACCTCCCATCTTCCCTAAATCTATAAATATGTATATATCCCGCCTCAAAAGATCTTTTGGGGAAAAACTGCAGTCCCTTTGCCGTGCCAACTGCTAAAAGAGTTCCATACTCTTTGTCATGGAAATTTACTGTGCATATGCTGAATGCAGCTTCATTATCCTGAAGCTCCAGCAGACAAGTAGTGTTGGTTGACCTTGGGTCAAGAACTCTAATGCAAGAAACCCACCTATTTGACTCTGCCTTGGGAAAACCATACTGCTCATCAGAGAGTGGATCATCCTTATCATCATCATCACCACCATTCTCCATTTGCTCGACATTTCCGTTTTCTCCAATTCCAGCAGCCTCAAAGCACTCTTTTTTTAAAGCTTCACGCTCTTCTGCTGGAAATGCTCCCTGATCAGTCTCAATAATAACCAAGAGTTTCCGCTTGGGATGGAGCACAAACTTTCTTGGGGTGTACCTCAATGGAATAGCAGTTTCATTAAAAGTTTCTCCCAGTCTCTCAATGGTAAAGACCCTCAATGCATCCCCAGCAACAGCAACTACACCCTCAGCACACTGATCAGATGAAAAGGAGGCTGCATATTCAAGGGTCTCATATGAAAGGGGTGTTAGGAGGAAATGTCCTTGGTGTATGTAACCAAGCCAGGGTCTACTAGACAAGCACAGCATAGCACGCCGTCCTCTCACAAACACCGAAAAGAGCTTGGGGGCTCTAAGGCCTAAGAACCGGGAACGGGCATCAGAAAGCTGACCTGTCACCATATCCACCACTGTTCGGAACAAAACCCCATTTTGTAAACCAGCATTAAGAAAGAGGTTAGCAGGGTGATCGGCACCATCCTCCCCACCTACCGAAGCCTGGACTTCAAGAAATAGGAGAGATTCTGGAGGTGAAGAGACGCTTTGCAGGCTTAGAACCTGCATACAGTCATCAGGATCCAACGACAAGATACGAATAGTATTGTCGTATGATCCAACTGCAAGGAAACGAGACCTCTGTCTTCCTTCAGGTACAGGAGCAATGTCCAAACAAGCTACATCCCCAGACATTTCGTGCTTCTCAACCTCCATCAACTGACCAGTCATATCCACCTCAAAATATATAAGCTCCCCTCCGCTCAGCGCAATAACCACTTGAAGTCTATTAGAACCAACCTTGACAATTGTTCTCTTACCAGGAGTTCGCCATTCATTAATACGCCGATCTTCTCTTATATGCCTAATACCGCTAGGATGAACTTGCATCAGAGAATCATCACCGATTAAAGAAACAGCAAGTGAAGGAGTAGTATCAAGAAAGCCACTATCACTAACTTCTTCGACTGTCTCACCAATTGAAAGCACAAGAGTGGCATTTGCAAATGAAACAACAATATAAGCATCAAATTCATCATTGACATTTTTTTTAACAGTCCAGACTGCACTCGGAACACCAGGAAGCTGTGACACTGCCATTTCACTAATAGCCAAACCTGGTCTTAGTATCCGAAGAGATGAACGAGGACCCCGCCCACAAAGTGCAAATATCTGAGGAGTTTCTTCCTCAAAGAGATTTAAAACTCTCATATCCATTATTGGCATCAAGCTCTCCACTTGATCAATCCTCACAAGGTTCTTCAGCCTCCTAGGCCGGAAAAACACAGGTTGAAAACCTTCTTCTGTTTCCATCAACGTAGATGATGAAGCTTCCACATCTGGCTCATCTCCTATGGCCCGAAACTGATACAATGCATGGTTGCCAAACTCTGAAGCGACAAACAAAAACCCAGATTTCAAAACACATAACGAAGCAGCAACCGGAATGGTATCAAAATATTTAATCTTCAATTCCGTCACCCGGTCATTGTCATGATCCAACGTGACCTTAAAAATGTCCCCATACTCTGTTTGCAAAAGGAAGAAAAACATCAACTTCTGTTTATGCATAGCAGCTGAAACTATAAGAACACCACGTTCTGCCGGCAAATCCTCTCTCCTAGGAATAACAGCCCTGACATCAGGGTGACCCTGATTCTTATATATCACGAAATTCTCTGCACACACAAGCACACCACTCGGCCCATCCCCGCCACCCGGAACAGTCACAAGCATATTAGCACCATTATCAACCTGTTCTGACCACTTCCTTGAAACATGATTAAGTCCCAAATCTAATTCATAAAATGTCAAGTGTTTCTGGGCCTCACTCGCTGCCTGACCAGTCGAATCCTGATCAGCTTCCGAGTAATCCAACTCAATCGCGGCAAATATCGGGTTATCAAACCCACAATCCACTCCACAAATTGAATAAGCAACCGTGTGACTCTTATGAGCCTCCAAAGGTGACGAAATTGTCAACCTCGCTGCAGTATCTCTATTCAAAACATACACAAGTTTCTGTTTTTCACAAGCACCAATCATGACGGCCCGTCCTTTCGGGTCAATGGCCAAGTACTGGCCCGGAACAATCCTGCGACATCCAGATTTCCCAAACGTTTCTTGGTGAATCTTATCGAACCAGTTCTTTTCTTTGTTGTATTCGAGAATCACGATGCGGCCCGAATCGGACCCAACTACAATATAGTCCTTTTGAGCGCCGGTCAGACGAAATTGGGCTAAAGACCGAATGGCACCGAAAATTTCAACGGAGAGAAGGGTTTGGAGCTTACCGTTGTCGTCGGGACGAAGAAGATCGAGGACTTTGCCGCGAGCGACAACAATTTCTTGGGACTTGCCGCCGGAGAAGCTGCCGTTGATGGCACAGACTATGCCTGTGGCTTTTTGGAGGGTGAGATTATAGAGATACATAGTTAAAAGTCTAGAAATGAAAAGGGGGAAGAGGTTAGGGAAAACACTAGGGTTTTGAGAGTAAAAGTGGGGTTTAGAAGGTGGGAGCTTCAAGGAGAGAGACGACTAGGATCTGAATTGTCAGCTACTAATTTAACCTGCAGGATGTGTGAGAGAGAGAGAGAGAGAGAGTAGTGTGGGGACCGGGGATCGGGGAGGGTTTTGGCTTAACGGTGAACCTTTGGTCCGAGGCGGTTTTGGGTTTTTCATTTCTTTGGTCAAATTACATTTTCAACCCTTCAAGTATTCCTTTATTTCTATTTTGGTCTCTGATATTCCAAGATTAATAATGACTATTAATTGTTTCGAGTAAGACGAGTTTGTGTTTAGTCTTGATGATGGATTTAAGCTTAGGCTGCCCACTTGGAGCCCAAAACACCTAGTGGATCCGTTAAAGAACAACTCAAATGATCCATCTACATAGTGTCTGTCATATCATGGGACTGGGTCACAACCTATGGCCATGGGAGCCCAAGATGGTCCAACTCGGGATATATATCAACTCGATCCTAATAAGCTCAACGGCAGGTACCTGCTAGGGAATAAGAAGCTTGGCATAGAACAGGCGTCAAGTAACTTCAATCGCACCACATGGTCGGGGGGACAAGGGGGTAATGTCTGACAACTCTAACAAACAAATATTCCCTGACAAAGGGAATAAGGCATACATTCTGTTTCGAGGATCGTTGGAGCGAAGTTGTCAAGTTGGTAGACCTCGCTATAGGACAAAGGAGGAGGGAACCACATAATCAATCAGAAAATGAAGAATTGCAGAAATTCTAGACAACCAGATATATAAATAGAAGACGAAGCCACTATAAAAGAGGGATCACCATAGACAATTTGAAAAGTACTTTGTAAAAGGCTCTTAGCCAAATTAACTGAAATCATTACCTTCTTCTTTAAGTAATATAACTTACCAGAAGCAAGAGTTTTTGTTATAGTAGACGTAATCTTAATCTTTCGATTAAGATGAACCACTTAAATTTTTGTCTTTGTTTCTTCTTCAAGCTATTACCTCACACTGTTTCAAGCACACACTGAGCCCCCACTAGGCCCAAACCCCTTTGATCTTCTGTAATTGGGTGAAGAGATTTTGAGTACCATCACGTCTTAATAGATTTGTATTAAAAAATACACTCATACTCAATTCATGTCTAATGAATCGTGTTATATCGAATTTGAATTATGAAATAACTGATATATAAATGAGTCGAGTAGTATATTTCTTTTAATTAGTTCACTCATACTTAATTCGTTATTAATTGTGTCGGATTGAATCAACTCAATTACCGAATAAGTGATTTAAGTAATACTTAAATTCTCTAATTCCGTGTTGTATTAACGAGTGATAACCTATTTATAATCAAATCTTTTACCTTTCATGTGTCTCCCTGCATATAACATGACCAAACCAGACTATGATCTAACCAAATAAAAAGAAGTAATGCTACATAGCTCAAATGAAACTCAAAATATTGTATCTCAAACACATATCATCCAACACTCATCCAAGTCGTGTAGCATTTTCCAATAAAAAATTCATGTAAAACGAGTGCAAGACACAAACAAAACAAAACACAAAATGTATGGATTTGATATAATTTATGGACCTAATGATGTGTTTTACCATTATTAAGTTTCAATGTGTAATGAGACTCACAATCAATCTAATGATTATAATGAAATAGGTCCAAATAGAATTACTCTAAGTGGAAAAATATGGTGGAGTTTGTTCCTCTCAGTAGGCTATGGAGAGGGGGAAGTGGGTAGTTTGGTTGGTTTTGGGGTGCGGTTGCCACCAGATTCCAAGTTGGCATTGAGGTGCAAATGGGGCCTAAATTGTTGTATTCGTCCCTAATTATCAATAACACTTTGAGCAATTGTCCTAATAGAAACAAATTGTTGTATTTATTCTCACCATAAGCTAATTATACCCTTGGGGCTAAATCCACCTGAACCCCATTGTAGGCTTGTTGGATGAGCACCTTGGGGGAAGACTAAGCACCATGTGAGTAGTATGGAGAGTCAAATATAAAGGGCGTACCCAGTGCACAAGGCTCTCACCATTATGGGGTTTGAGGATGATTAAATATACACAGTCTTATCATTTCCTTGATGGAGAGTCAAATATGCTTGAAATAAAACCATCCAAATAGTGGATTTGATAGCCAGGGCACAAAAACTACCAACTATCATACTACCCACTCCAACTAAACCAAACTTCAAGCAAAATTTTCAATTCTCACCTTCTTATAATTCAGCAACTTGTATACCAAAGACTCTTCCCTTCTCTCTCCATGGAGGTTCCCAAGCTCCCTTCCATGTTAGCCTGGTTCCTTTTGTTCTTCACCATCATCACCCAATCATTTTCTGCTCGAACACTTACTGACCCTTCAACAAACCATCATAATGCTCATCAATCAATCGCCTTCTACATGCGAGATGTTTTCAGTGAGACACAACCCTCATCAAGGCCTATAACCACAAAATTCAATGGTGATCACCTACCTTTCTCAAAACCATTAGGCTTCTTCCCTCCTAACGGAGGCTTACCACTCGCTGATCCAAATCCAATGGTTCCTGTCCCCGGAATGTCAACTCAAACGCTTGATTTATCTGGTGTCAGTGTTTCTTTTCCGGCAATAGCCACTCTTCAGGAGTTGGAGTTGGGGACAGTGGCAACAATTGAGGACGACTTGTTTAAAAATTCATTTGGAACTCCATTGCTCGGAAAAGCACAAGGGATGTATGTTGCAAGTTCAGAAGACAGAAGCAGCCACATGATGGCAATGACTGCAGCCTTTGTTAATAGCAATCAAAAGGATAGCTTGAGATTTTTCGGAGTGCACCGAGCAGATGCATTAGAATCTCATGTTGCAATTATCGGTGGTATGGGGAAGTTTCACAATGCAAATGGCTATGCAACGATTAAGACTGTCAACGCAACCTCTAGCACCAAGGGAAGAGAAAGTGAAGGGGGCTATAAGTTCCTCCTATTCAATGTTTATCTCGGATAATAGGAGTTAATTATCTAGTTTTCCACAAAAAAAAATGACTGTGATTGTAGGATATTGGTCTTTCAATTTCTCTTTACTGTCACAATGGTTTACAGTACTGGGGGAAGGTGAGGGCTGGGAGAGCCTGGAGGGAATTTGAACCATGGTCCACTTTACAGCTAGGGAGTCTTAAAAATTTCTAGTGACATGATAATCACCTATATTACATTCATTTGTGCTTCTAGGGATGAACCGCACTTCATGATAGATAAATGGATGAGACCGAACTCGAATTTCTTTTTTCGCAAATTAGATCTTTCCTACAATGCATACGCAGCATCTGGCGATTGCAATACAACATTCAAAATCAATCTGACTGTGGTTAACAAGCAAATATAGAAGCAGTGTATCATTCCCGTACTCTTTTTCAATTATTTGATTAGGTAAATTGTTCAATGCTGATAATTTGAATCAAGCAGAGAGAGGTTATACTTTCTAATCAAACACTTTGTGGGGTTGACCTCAAGCTCACAAGAGCGATGGGCTCTGGACCCGAATCCATGAAAATTGAGCACTGTTTTATCCACCTGATGTTTATGCTTGGTGAGCACTAAATAACTATTTTCTTTATTTATTTTTTTCCCTGTGGAACATATTTTACTATATTTCATCGAAGGGAACTTACATAAAGGAAATGAAGAACTAAAACAGAACAGACAAAATATAGCAGCAAGTAATCTGATAATAAAAATGTGTGCACAATGACCTAAAAATAAAATTAGTGCAAAAAAGTCCGACCTAAATGACTCAGATTTTTTTAGCATAACAAATTCTTAATGACGTGAAATCAGTGAAAGAAGTGGAATTGGTGCCAAACTAGCCTGAGCATGAAGGGGAATGCATCTTGCACCATCCATGTATATTTACTAAGCAAAAATGCTGCATCGATTCTACTTTATGGAGTTTCCTGCATTCTTTTTTATGTGAAAAATAGAATTATTTAGAGGAACTGAGTAAAGGATCTATCAGTTTCTCAATTTCTAATGATGATGCCACAGTTGATTATGTTTTGAACAATAAAATTTATAAATACTTGAAGACGCAGCTCAGAATCCTTTCAGAAGATATTGAAGGTAAGCCATTCGATATCTGATACACCTTCATGACATAGACCACACAATAGCTATGTACATGCCTTCACATAAACTAAACAAGATGTAAGAATATATAAAAAAAAAAAAAGGAAAGAGAAGAAGAAGAGGGTATAATTATAATTCCATGTGGGTCTAGAACCATGGTTAATGATTTCCTCTCATGTTCAACCTCGAGTTTTAGAATGCAGTAAACAGCAGTAACACTGAATTCGGAATAGTATTCTTAGTGCCACATTTGCAATCAGCATTTCAGAATGAATTGGGAAGTATGGGAAAATCAGAATAGCACCCTTGATGCAATCACTTTTGTGCATAAACTCTCTTGGGTGACAGACATTCTGGCATTCCAAGAGTCAGGGTGCTATGATAGTCAGGTAGGTTCGTCCCATTTATATGTAACCAAATGAAATAATCTCCAATTATCACGAGGTTTCTTACAGTTGAGCAGAATTGGAGTTGAGTTTATTCAGGTCTATGAGATTTGATTGCTCACAACGTAGGAATGTTTTTGGATTTCGTATATCCAAGGTCTGATTCGAATCTAAAGTCTTATACAAAAAAATAGAACATAATCTTAACCAAAGTGCAAACTCCTTGGCTTTTTTGCACACAAACATCATATTTTTCTGTTCAACTCCAATCAAGAAAACTCAAAAAACCAGTAAACACCCAACCGACATTTTTTTTTCATGTTTTTCTCTTATGATCAACATTGTAGCAGTACAATTGTCCATTTGGGGGTGTAGGGTGGCACAATTTCATTCTCTATCTTAGACAGTCCAAACAAGAGTCAGTGCAACCAATTTCAGAAATTTCATATGCCATCTTATGAGGATGATTGGTATTGTTAAAGGAATGTATTAAGAAATTGACAGGTTGTACTTAATCTCCAAACCAGTGGAAGTTAGGTTTCTCAACCAAACATTCCATTCAAAATAAGGGAATGTACCAACTCCATCTCATCAGCTCCACTTCTTATTAGAGACTACTCACACTATATATACCCAATTACACTCCACTCTCTTCTCCAACAAATCTGATCTGATCTTCTCTCCTCTCCTGAAAACTTTCCTTCTACATACCCAAAATGGCCAAAACTCTCTTGCTCACCTCCAACACTCTCAAGGCTATAATCTGCTGCTTGCTGCTGGCCATATCGCTTCGATGTGCAAACGCAGCTCGAATCCTTGATGAAGTGGACCCCGAAATGCCACTCCCAGCCAACGCCCCTGAAGCGTCTGATCCAACAGATACAGATGTGGCACCTGTGGTGGCCCCTGCTGCCGCACTGCCAAGTGGCCAAATTCCAGCCACTGGTCCCACGACGTTACCAATTGGAGCAGGCCCAATCACCACGGTGGCCCCAGTTGCTAATATCCCCAACACAGTCACAGCACCGGTAGCAACTCCAGCCGCCACATTACCAAGTGGGGCTGCTGCAGGTGCCACAGTTGCCCCGGTGGCAACTCCAGCCGTCACATTACCAAGTGGACCCGCGGCAGTTGCCACCACAAGTGCCACTGTAGCACCGGACCATCCTCCATTGTCGTTCTTTATGCATGACATCCTAGGTGGTTCCCACCCCTCAGGCCGGGTGGTTACCGGAATCGTAGCCAACTCCGATGTTAACAACCTCNATAAAAAAAAAAAAAGGAAAGAGAAGAAGAAGAGGGTATAATTATAATTCCATGTGGGTCTAGAACCATGGTTAATGATTTCCTCTCATGTTCAACCTCGAGTTTTAGAATGCAGTAAACAGCAGTAACACTGAATTCGGAATAGTATTCTTAGTGCCACATTTGCAATCAGCATTTCAGAATGAATTGGGAAGTATGGGAAAATCAGAATAGCACCCTTGATGCAATCACTTTTGTGCATAAACTCTCTTGGGTGACAGACATTCTGGCATTCCAAGAGTCAGGGTGCTATGATAGTCAGGTAGGTTCGTCCCATTTATATGTAACCAAATGAAATAATCTCCAATTATCACGAGGTTTCTTACAGTTGAGCAGAATTGGAGTTGAGTTTATTCAGGTCTATGAGATTTGATTGCTCACAACGTAGGAATGTTTTTGGATTTCGTATATCCAAGGTCTGATTCGAATCTAAAGTCTTATACAAAAAAATAGAACATAATCTTAACCAAAGTGCAAACTCCTTGGCTTTTTTGCACACAAACATCATATTTTTCTGTTCAACTCCAATCAAGAAAACTCAAAAAACCAGTAAACACCCAACCGACATTTTTTTTTCATGTTTTTCTCTTATGATCAACATTGTAGCAGTACAATTGTCCATTTGGGGGTGTAGGGTGGCACAATTTCATTCTCTATCTTAGACAGTCCAAACAAGAGTCAGTGCAACCAATTTCAGAAATTTCATATGCCATCTTATGAGGATGATTGGTATTGTTAAAGGAATGTATTAAGAAATTGACAGGTTGTACTTAATCTCCAAACCAGTGGAAGTTAGGTTTCTCAACCAAACATTCCATTCAAAATAAGGGAATGTACCAACTCCATCTCATCAGCTCCACTTCTTATTAGAGACTACTCACACTATATATACCCAATTACACTCCACTCTCTTCTCCAACAAATCTGATCTGATCTTCTCTCCTCTCCTGAAAACTTTCCTTCTACATACCCAAAATGGCCAAAACTCTCTTGCTCACCTCCAACACTCTCAAGGCTATAATCTGCTGCTTGCTGCTGGCCATATCGCTTCGATGTGCAAACGCAGCTCGAATCCTTGATGAAGTGGACCCCGAAATGCCACTCCCAGCCAACGCCCCTGAAGCGTCTGATCCAACAGATACAGATGTGGCACCTGTGGTGGCCCCTGCTGCCGCACTGCCAAGTGGCCAAATTCCAGCCACTGGTCCCACGACGTTACCAATTGGAGCAGGCCCAATCACCACGGTGGCCCCAGTTGCTAATATCCCCAACACAGTCACAGCACCGGTAGCAACTCCAGCCGCCACATTACCAAGTGGGGCTGCTGCAGGTGCCACAGTTGCCCCGGTGGCAACTCCAGCCGTCACATTACCAAGTGGACCCGCGGCAGTTGCCACCACAAGTGCCACTGTAGCACCGGACCATCCTCCATTGTCGTTCTTTATGCATGACATCCTAGGTGGTTCCCACCCCTCAGGCCGGGTGGTTACCGGAATCGTAGCCAACTCCGATGTTAACAACCTCCCTTTCTCCAAACCCAACGGCCAAGTCTTCCCAATAAACGGCGGTGTGCCCCTCAACACTGTCAACATAAACGGCATCATCAACAACAACAATGCTCCATTCCTAGTAGGCCTCAATGGTCAACAAACCAACACAGTCATCCAAAACAATGGCAACAACAATGTAGTCAATGGTGGCAACAACTTACCCTTTGTCTCCGCCGGGCAACTTCCGGCTGGCATAACTCTTCAACAGCTTATGTTCGGCTCAATCACCGTCGTTGACAACGAGCTAACAGAAGGGCATGAATTGGGCACAGCAGTTCTCGGAAAAGCGCAAGGATTTTACATGGCAAGCTCTCTAGATGGTAGTAGCCACACCCTTGTACTAACAGCATTGTTCCATGGAGGTGATCATGAGGTGGATGACACCATCAGCTTCTTTGGGGTTCACCGGACCGCCACGCCAGAGTCTCACATTGCAATTGTTGGAGGGACTGGTAAGTATGAGAATGCAAAAGGGTATGCCATTATTGTGACTCTTCATCAGCAAGATCAGCACACTACTGATGGAGTGGAAACAATCACCCAATTCAGTGTTTATCTCACCCCATAAATTACTCCTTGACGGGTATTCGATTCCTGGAGTGATTGTAATGGCATTAATGTTTCAGTGTTCTGTTTATCTATTTTGAGTGGTTGTAATTGTGTTGTCAACTTTAAACCTTTATAATATAATGAAGGGTTTTCTTCCTTCTGTTATTGCATTGAACTCTTCAGTAGTCACAAATGCTTTCATTTTGAACCATATCACCAGTTTATGCTAGATTGAAATCAGATTAAAACAGTACATGAAGACTTGTTCATTCTTCATAAGAAGGGTAAAATTCTGATTCTCAATTGGATAGAGCGAGATCCCCTCCAATACATTTTCTCTTCGATTCTCTTTCTTAGAGGGTCATCTGTCATAAATTCAAGTGGTTTTGACACGGAGATTGTCTTCAAATGCTTATGCAATAACAGGTTAAATTGTTCCTAGCAAACGAGACCAGTGGAGGGATTAGAGGGAAAAGAAGGATTAAAAAAAAGGGTAAAATACATTTTTAGTCCTCAAAGTATGTATTTATTGTCAATTTGTTTTCTAATCTTTTAATTATGTCTATTTGGTTTCTAAAATTTCTAATTTGTATCTTAGTGGTCCAATCCCAAACGGCATTAGAAAATCGTTGACAATTCTAATTACACGTCAAACACGTAATTCTTAATTTTATGTCTATTTAGTCCTTAAAATTTTTAATTTGTATCGATTAGATCTCTAAAATGCCTAATTTGTGCCTATTTGGTCTCATGTGATTGACACATAAGCAGAGCCGTTAACGAATTTTTTGATAGACGTTTGGAATTAGACTACGTAGATGCAAATTAGAAACCTTAGAGACCAAATAGACACAACTAAAATATTAAAGACTAAATAGATACTATATACATACTTCGAGGACTAAAAATATATTTTACCCTAAAAAAAATGCACAAGTTTATCGGCCAATCATGTGATTATGACAGCTTAAGTATTTAAGGTCCTAAAATTCTAAAAACTTTAGCTTTTAATTAGTTGTTAACAAGAAATCTAAAAATTACATTGGATTTATTCACAAACTTGTAATTATTTTTAAAATATAAGTATCGATTAAATCTAGAAATTACAAACAAGAGTCGGACCCAAGACTCCAAGACTTACACTGTGCCCCAAAATTCATTCCACGCGTTAGCATTCAAGTTAATTTCTGTTTTTATTTATTTATTTTTTTATAGGAAATTACAACTTTTAGTAGGATATTATGCTCTTTGATTAACTTTAGTTTTTTTTATTATTTTTTTCTGTAAGAACTTGGAACTTTTATTAGGATGTGATATTCGTTAATTTTTTTTTTCGCTGGTTAAAAAAGGGGTGGGGCAAGGAAGAGTGTCCAGCGATCACTCCAATAGGTTCTCATCGGTGAGATCATAAGACCCTGGACCGCACCTACCCCGATAGGCCCTCACCGATAGGATCATAAGGCCCCTGATCACGCCTGAAAAATTTTTCGGGATCAAACCTAATTAGATTAGCATAGCGGTCCACCACCAAACCCTAATAGAGATTTCAAGACTTAAACCCCTAACCTTGAGGAATAAGATCGGTATTCCACTAGACCACCCTTTGTGGTGGTGATAATCGTTAATTAATAAATAAAGAAATAGGGAAATAAAAACATCCAGAAGACCCCCGAGAAAAATCCTCAAAGAAGCTTTGTATTAAAAAAAACTTATAAATTCACAACAGATTACCGACATTTGTATAGGCAGCTCAAAAATCATCCTTTTTCTCTCCGAGGGATCTCCCAAGAAATATAATTCACTGTACCACCCAGCAATGGCCGTGGAGGTCTGTGTAAAAGCCGCTGATGGTGCCCCTGATGTTCTTGGAGACTGTAATCTCTCTCTCTCTCTCTCTCTCTCAACGTGCAGTTCTTATAAACAGCTTCCATGGCTGATGTACCATTTCTGTGAATGTGAGAACAATGCTTTGGATGATGTGATGATTCTTGTAACTATGTAGGCCCATTCAGCCAAAGGGTACTTATGACTTTGGAAGAAAAGAAAGTTCCCTACAAAATGCATCTGATCAATATCAACAACAAACCCCAGTGGTAATTGAATTATGGATTTTTTTTTTTCGGTTTTTTCCCAAAAAAAAGTCGGCGTTGTATGCATGAGTTAACAAACTTAAAGCAGATGTATTTGTTGGGTTTATGTTTGGGGTTGAATTGTTTAGGTTTTTGGAGGTGAACCCAGAAGGCAAAGTACCAGCAATCAAAATCGATGATAAATGGATAGCTGACTCTGAGGTAATCGTGGACCTTATCGAAAAGAAATACCCAAATCCTCCTCTCTCTCCTCCACCCGAAGTCGCCTCTGTGTATGATGATGCTTACTCTCCCTCTCTCATTGTGTGTAAAGTTAGAAGAATAATGTTTGTTTTTATCAGAAACTTTTATGAATTTTGAATATCAAAATTATGAAATACCAAATGATGTATAGTGAAAATCAGTAGAACCCATTAACCTAATCATTTCTATTGATTTGGTACCCCAAAAAAAAGAAAAATTGTAATCCAAGGCATAACTCAAGTGGAAAAAGATACCAGATGTAAATCAAAGATTTTGAGTTCGAATTTTGGTAATTTTTTAGGATTAGGTCGCGAGGGATTTTTATCTCTCATCGAGTTGCATGTAACAAATAGCATGAACCTGTTTGGATAATTTTGCTAACTTTTTTTTCCTTCTCAGGATTCAGGAAATCCCTCAAGTCTTTGATCTTCAAAATAGAAATTAGAACATTTTCTAGGAATATTTAATGTAGTTTTATCGTTTTCCACCACTCAATGTTTATATAAAATAAAAGTAAAATCTCCTGAAAACAGTTCTGTTTCTTGGTCAAATTGATTTGCCTTCTACTGATTTTTTTGCACCCCTGCTTCTGTGAGAATGTAGGGGGTCCAAAATATTCCCGGCTTTTGTCAAGTTCTTGAAAAGCAAGGACCCAAATGATGGTACAGAGCAGGCTCTGCTTGATGAATTGAAGGCCTTGGATGAGCATCTCAAGGCACATGTATGTGTTTTCCAATTTGAATCTACTTCATTCCAAATAAGCCTTTTGTCTTAGGTTGAGAATTACTTTGTAAGTCCCTAGTATCAAGCCTTGGTGATTGATTATATCTCTTGTGATGATATCAAAAGAGAAAGTCTAACTCGTCCTAGGGACAAGTCAAGACAGCAGTCCAGGTCACCATATGCCAAGCTGACTTGAAGAATACAGGTCAGCTATGAAAAACTCGAGGATGACCAATAGCTCAAAAATTACGAAAAGGGACAATAGAGGGCTTTCACCAACAAACCTTATCTCGGGCAAGAAGACACCACCTCTAGAAGGCCACGTTATTGCTTCTAGAAGGTCACATCACACCTAAGGGAAAGAGCTTCTAACGGCCAAATATCCCCCAAAGTGGATTAACTTAGCTCTTCAGCTGGACAAACCACTCTACATCTGTTCATTTTTCATCCATATAACTTCACACACTCGATACACTTAACCTACAACTCATTCAACTCAACACACCACATGTTTCTCGATTTTTTACTCCATCATCTAGTATGCCTCATTTTCCTTAATCTCAATCTATAGTTAGTCAAAATAAACCTTTGTCTCTTTCCATTTTATTACTTAGTAAGTGTGCATTTTCAGGGACCTTATGTTAATGGGGAAAATATTACTGCTGTTGATTTGAGCTTGGCACCTAAGCTCTACCATATGGAGGCGGCTCTTGGACATTTCAAGGGCTGGGCTGTCCCTGAAAACTTGACTCATTTGCGTAATTACATGAAGGTATGCAGTTAGTTTCTTCTCATTGCAACTCTGTTCTTTGATTTTATTGTTTCTGGGATAACCTTGTTTGTCAAAGACTTCTGATTAGTTCCGGTTATGGAATTTGATTTATAATAAGTTTTGTGATACTCCTTTATCAGTTATTCAATAGAATTGAAAAGCCATTGGCAGTTGAGAGCTTTTTTGTTTGTTCTTTAATTTTTATTATTCTCTCTTTTTGGGTGGATTTCTTAGATTTGGTATCTTTCAATGAAATGAAAGTTTTGTTTCTTATTTAAAAAAATCTGCATACTTGCGAATAGCATGGCACGAGGAAGAAAAATCAAGTGTTATCTTAGTCTTTTTTGAGTAGTCTCAATTGGAAAACTATCTTTATAATCTTCTGTCAGAAAATCTAGACTGTCTTACCTGCTGGTTTGGGTATAATGGTTCCAACTTCGAACTACATGCTGTCACTGGTCATCCAATAAAAAAAAGTTGTTTTGTTTTGTTTTTAATTTTATTTCATTGATTGCACAATCTGTCTATAAATCATTTTCGACATGGCACCGAAATTTTTTTAGGCGGTCCGAGGCTTATTCATATATCAGAAAGTAAGGAAGTTAGATTTGTCTAATGTCAGTCATATGTGTTCTTATATTATTCTGCAGCTGCTATTCTCCAGGGAGTCAGTTCAGAAAACGAAGCCTGCAAAGGAATATGTTATTGCAGGATGGAAGCCAAAGGTTGAAGCTTGAAGTCATTCTGAGTTCCAGTTTACATATGCTTCTAATACCCTCAACTGTTTGTGAAAATTAGTGAGACATTTGCGATATGTTTTGAAGCATGTAAGAGAAAACGATACCTGAACTAGAACAAGTACTAGAATAAACAAGAGATGTCGTGTTGGGTTTATATGGTATTAATTTCGTTCATTTTTAATTTTGTATCAAATTTATAGATCGTGTTTACAGGGTTTCAAGAAAATGTTGCCCCTACCCAACTCCCACTCTCTATTATGACATCATGTGCAACATACGGTTAGGGGCCAGAGATTCAGGCAATAATCTCAGACCGTTGGTTCACAAAAAAACGTTTAACATCAAACATCGTTGTCTCTCTATTAGAAGAAAGTGCTTGAATGCGACATGAACAAAGATGTAGTCCCCACTCTTTGCTTCATTTATTAACAATAACGATACCTTGACATTCTACTGTACAAGAAGACAACAATGTAGCCCAATTCATATAATAATTGATAGACACTTGAAGATTCCAGATGTGACCACCCTCTTGGTTAACTTCTACACAAACCCAACTGGGATTTAATTCCGTATTAAAATATTCTTTATATTTAAGTAGATTATTCATTAATACACATGATTAACATTCTAGAACACTTACAATTGAGAGAATCTAATACGGGTAGGATCCTAACATCGACCCGACTAATACCATTCTCCACAATTCACCCAATGGACAATTGCCCACATGACAAACCCACGATTCTAAAGGGATTATTTGGGTCACTACCAGTTGGTGAATAATGCAACAAGGGTAATCTATATATCTACATGGTGGGTGACTTGGCATACTTTCATAGGTGGGACCACATAGTATCCCTTCCGTAGACTCATTTGAGTAGGGAACCCCACATAGGTAGTATAGTGTCTTTGAGTTTGGCTGGTTGTGAAGAATTAGTATTATTTTATGAGTTCATAACTCATAACCTAACCTAACGCTCCATATGCCAACCAGAACTCAAAGGTAAGATCGTTTTCAATGGCATATATCAGTCGTCGGGATCTTTTTGGTGCTTCTGATCAGATTCAGATATCATCTTTTGAATCATCTCCGTCGTCTCCGCCGCCGACATTCGATTTTCTTTCCACTCATGAGATTGAGAGTTATAAGCCTCGAAGAATTCCTTGTTCTCTTTCTCCAACTCCTTCCACACTGCAAGAAATTTCTTTTACTTTTATCCTTTTCTGTTTGTTTATGTGAACAAAATTACTCAGTAAAGAGAAAGAAAAGTGCAAGGTCTGTGTAGGACCAGCAATCCCACGCAGATCAGGCCCCAGATTGAAATTTTGATTTCGGCTTTTGGTTTGCCTTTATTCGTGTGCGCATGCATGTGCATATTCAATATATACATACATACAAGAGAGAGAGAGAGAGAGAGAGAGAGAGACAGAGATCAGGAAGAGAGTGGGGGTTCCCATGCACTCTCCATCCCCATGCAAGCATGGAATAAGAGAAAAGAGAAGGAGGGGGGAGGGGGAGGGAGAGAACTAACCAGTGGAAGTGATGACTGGCTTGATGTTTGCATGATTGGAGAGGGCTTCCATGCACTCTTCTTTGGTCATGCGGAAGATGAGACATTTCTCTATAAGGTGCTGCACCTGAATTGAATGATTTATTAAATTAAAACGTGGTAACTTCTGGTATAATACCAAACTTAACGACGTAGTCTTTTCTAATAATAAACAGATCATAGTAAAGCCACAATCGATAATAATATCCTTGATATGTTTTGTCAAAACAATACTTCAAAAACCTTACCATGAATCACTTACCATGTGTATGTATGAAGCAGATTCGTCCCCCATGATACTATAGCAGATCTGATCTCTCAGTCAATATAAGACTACGTTAATATACACTTGCAAGCCAGTAGGTGAGGTTATATATAGAGGAAGGGAAACAGGGAAGGGGGAGTGAGTGTAATGATATGATAATAGACCAGAGAGCTAGGGGAGTTGCAGAGAATAAAATCATATAAGAGCATTAACAACAAAGGAGGAAGTAATGGGGGTGGGGTGGAGCCCAATAGACCCACGTGGGAGATAGATGATAATTGGTGGAGAGGGGATGAGAGTAGATTTCGTGTGTACATGCACACACAATGACACTTCCTTTGTTCGGCCAAATTTTACGATCAAATCAAGAGTTTAAATGCCGCGACAATTGACTTTGATCTTTTTTATTTGATGTCAGATTATTTAAATTTTAATAAAAATTTTAAATAATAAATTTTTATGTTATTTAAATTCTTAATTTTACTGATTAATTATTGCCTCGTGGGATTGCCATTTAGGCTGCGCCACCCCCTCCACGTGATCAACGGTCCCCGCTTCTCTAAATTACACTAACTTACAACGCCCTCTATGCATCCGTGTCACCGACGGCGTGTTAAAAGGAGATAATTTTCAATACAATGGTAATATTAATTTATAATAAGATTATATAAATAAAGTGAACTTTACTTAGATATGTGTTGTTTGGTAACCTAAGAGTTTCTATTTTTTTTTTGTTTTTTTTTTTATGGCAAAAAAAAAAACGATGTTTGATAAATGTTTTAATTTTTTTTTACTACTCCGTTTTAAAAATAAGACTAAAATATAAAAACATCTAAAATATAAAAATATTTTAATAAATAATTTTATAATATTTAGAACCCCGCAACCAACATGTTATTGATTCAGAGATGATGTGAATTAATCTCAACATAACAGGTCATCAAGTTGGTATAAAGACCTAAATGAATCAACAACTTGATATGACTTTTTTCTTTTGTCAGGCTTATTAACAATGAAGGAGATAATAACGTTTTGTGTTTTGTTTCTTTCTCAGTCCTTGATCAGAAAAGAAATGTGCCAATGCATCCTTCCAACTCGCATGTCTTGTCTTGCTTTACATGTTTTCCATCTCTCTCTCTCCCTCTCCCTCTCAAGGCTACAGTTTGCGGGGAATACTATTTGACATTTCTAGGATCTTGCCTACGCTACTTTGTCCTAACTCACGCTCTATTTCAAGTGTCAGATTACAATATCAAATTTTATTTTTTGGTACGGTACCGTCATCTTATTTGAATTATTGATGTAATTTTTCTATTTTTTATAGCCGTTGATCAATTTCAAAAAGTTGATACTGGTTACAAGCAAAAAGGATAATGAAAAAGAGTAGGACTTGAAAAATAACATCACTCAAAAAATATGAAACCACTACCCAAAAAAGTTGAACCCCTCCTCCAACCGTTAAACCCAAAAAGTTGGAACCCTCCCAGAACCCTTCCCAAGAGTTGGAACTCCTACCACAAAAAGGTTGAAAGTCACTCCAAAAAAGTTAAACTCTTACCAAAAATGTTGTAACCCTACTTAAAAAAGTTAGAACCCACCTCAAAAAAAGTTGGAACTCCTACCTAAAAAAAGTTTGAACCCCGCAAGAGTTGGAACATCTATTCAAAACGTTGGAACCCGTACCCAAAAAAGTTAGAACACCAACCAAAAAAGTTGAAATCATTACCCAAATAAGTTGAAACCCTCCCCCAACTGTTAGAACCCACCAATAGTTGGAACCTCTAAAAAAATTGGAACCCTCCCCCCACAAGAGTTGGAATCTCTACCAAAAAGTTAGAACATCTGCCTAAAAAAATTGAACCCCCTAACCAAAAAAGTTAGAACCATATCCAAAAAAGTTGAAACTCATACCTCAAGAGTTGGAACTTTTATCCAAATAAGTTAGAACCACTACCCAAAAAAGTTGGAACTCTTAATCAAAAAAGTTGGAATCCACCCCAAAAAAAGTTGGAAACCCTACCCAAAAATATTAGAACCCTCCCCTATTAGAACCCACTCATGGACTTGGAACCTTAGACAAGTTGGAACTGTCCCACAAGAGTTGGAACCTCAACCCAAAAGAGTTGGAACCCCTACCAAAAAATTTGGAACTCTTAATCAAAAAATTTGGAACCCACCCCAAGTTAGAATCTCAAAAAAGTTGGAACCTTCTCTCAAGAGTTGTAACCTCAAAAAATGAAGCCTGACCCAAGTAGTTAGAAGTATTATTTACAATTATTTGAATTTTTTGATTTTATTCATCATTTATTTATTGTTAATAAAAAGTGAAACTATTTATAAAATATAGAATATTTTAGGACTTTTTTTTGATCTAGCTAATCTGACTCACCCAAAAAATTAGAACTCAATTCAAAAAACGTTATAACCACACCAAAGCATTATTTACAATTCTTTTATTTATTTAATTTTATTCATTATTTATTTGTTATTATTTAAAAAATATTGAATATTTTTGGATAGTATGATTTTTTTGATCTAACGAATTGAAGTCACCCAAAAAATTGGAATCCAATCCAAAAATATTATAACATGACCCAATTTGAAGCATTATTTACTATTCTTTTAATTTTTTGATTTTATTCATTATTGAATTTTTTTTTTAAATAAAAATTGGGACTATTTATAAAAAATTGAATTTTGGGAATTTTTTTGATTATTTAAAGAATAAAAGTGTGATAGTTAAGAAAAAAATGGATAAAAGTATTATAGTTAAAGTGATAAAAGGGTGATATTTACCCAGGATCGGTCTCCCATTTCTTGGACCGATCCTAAATGTTTCACATTATAAATTACACTTACACCCCATATATTACAATATATTAATCACAAAAATCTTATCTCTCCCTCCACCCACTTTCCCACCTAAAGACTGTCACTGCCCAAAAAAGTTGAACCCTCCTCCAACCGTTAAACCCAAAAAGTTTGAACCCTACCCACAAAAACTTGGAACCCTTCCCCAAGAGTTGGAACCCTACCAAAAAGGTTGAAATTCACTCCAAAAAAGTTAAACCCGTACCAAAAATGTTGGAACCCGTATCAAAAAAGTTGGAACCCTCTTCAACAGTTGAAACATCTACCCAAAACGTTGGAACTCGTACCTTAAAAAATTAGAATACCAACCGAAAAAGTTGTAACCCCTACCCAAAAAAGTTGTAACCCCTACCCAGTTGGAACCCCTACCCAAATAAGTTAGAACCTCTAAAAAAGTTGGAACCCTCCCCCCAATAGAGTTGGAACAACTACCAAAAAGTTAGAACACTTGCCTAAAAAAGTTAGAACGTTATCCAAAAAAGTTGGAACTTATACTCTAAGAGTTGAAACCTCTATCCAAATAAGTTGGAACCCTACCCAAAATAGTTGAAACTTTCCCCCCAACTGTTAGAACTCAACAACCGTTAGAACCACCAAGAGTTAGAACCTCTAAAAAAGTTGGAACCCTCTTCCCAAAAGAGTTGCAACCTATACCCAAAAAGTTAGAATACCTACCCAAAAAAGTTGAACCTCTCACCAAAAAAGTTAGAATCTTATCCAAAAAAGTTGGAACCCCTGCCCCAAGAGTTGAAACCTCTGCCCAAAAAGTTGGAACCCCTAACTAAAAAAGTTGAAACTCACCCCAAAAAAGTTGGAACCACCCTAAAAAAGTTGGAACCCCTATCCCAAGAGTTGGAACATCTACACAAAAAAATTGGAACCCCTACCCAAAAATATTAGAACCCTCCCCCAACTGTTAGAACCCACCTATAAAGTTGGAACCTTAGACAAGTTGGAACTCTCCCACAAGAATTAAAACTTCAACCAAAAAATTGGAACCCTACACCCAGCAATTGGAACCTCTACCCAAAAAAATTGGAACCCCTATCCAAAAAAGTTGGAACTCTTAATCAAAAAAGTTGGAAGCTCTACCCAAAAATATTGGAACCCTCCCCAATTGTTAGAACCCACCTATAGAGTTGGAACCTTGGATAAGTTGGATCTCTCCCACAAGAGTTGGAACCCTACCCCTAACAGTTGGAACCTCTACCAAAAAACGTTGAAACCCTACCCAAAAAAGTTGAAACTCTTAATCAAAAAAGTTAGAACCCACCCCAAAAAAAGTTCGAAGCCCTTATTTACAATTCTTTTATTTGTAATTCGTTTATTTATTTGATTTTATTCATTATTTATTTTTTGTTATTTAAAAAATATTGAATATTTTTGGACAATAGGATTTTTTTGATGTAACGAATTGGAGTCACCCAAAAAATTGGAATCCAATCCAAAAATATTATAACCTGACCCAATTGGAAGCATTATTTACGATTCTTTTAATTTTTTGATTGTATTCATTATTTAATTTTTTTTTGTTAATAAAAATTGGGACTATTTATAAAAAATTGAATATTTTTTGGGATTTTTTTGATTATTTAAGGAATAAAAGTGTGATAGTTAAGGAAAAAAGGGATAAAATGGTGATATTTACCCAGGATCCGTCTCCCATTTCTTGGATCGGTCCTAAATGCTTCACATTATAAATTACACTTACACCCCACATATTACAATATATTATTTTTTTATTTTAAGGTCCAGAAATTACAAAAACCTTATCTCTCCCTCCACCCATTTTCCCGCCTAAAGACTGTTATTGCTTTTTGCCTTCCCTCCATCGTGCCTTCCCTCTATCTCTTTCACGGTACACAAATATTTGTTTGTTTGAGTTATATTTTGTTGAGTCTGTAAGATTATTGTGAAACTCCATTATTTTTTTTTTTGGTGAACATTGTCTTCGATAATCCATTGATGATCCAAGTCTTGATTAGATATAATGTAAGTGAACGTTTTTTTTAGTTAATAGCGTAATTTATATGGTGAAACCATTTTTGTGGTTAATGGTTTATTTTATGTTTAGGGTGAAGAAGGAACATGAAACTAAAGCTATTAGGGTGAAGAAGAAACATGAAGTTGAAGATATTAAGTCATCTCGCCCAACAAGCTCCTAGCTTTTT